AGAGCGGAATGAAGTTTTAATGCCCGGGCAGGGTCCTCCGTCAGGGAGGGAGAGGTGAAAGAGAGCTCTGTCCACCAGTCCTGTGAGAAAGCAAGGAAGCTCGTAAGTCTGTGCACGCTAGTAACCCTGCCACGAGAGAGTGGTGACCATCAAGCTTGGGGACATCTTTAAAATGCAAATGCCCATCCCTCATCCCTTCCACGGCCAAGCTAAGGACCTAGAATCGAACTTAAAAGCTCCCCTTCGGGTGCAAGCAACCCAGAGTGTTGTCTGCTTAAGGCAACAGGGGAATGAGAGCAACATTTTGGAGTAATTTCTCTTGGAAATGCTTGCAGTTACTTAGAAACTTACTGAAGTCACACAGTGGCATCTGCAGGCGAATGCACTGGCCTGCTCGAAGGTTAGAGGTGAGCAAGTGCGTTGAGAGGGAGCATAAGGCGTAACTTGTTTTTAGTAACAGCTTTATTGAGATGTAATTCACATACCTCCAGTTCACCCATTTAAAGTGCGCAGGTCGGTGGGTTTTGTGTATTCAGAGTTAGGCATCTGTCACGACTGTCTAATTCCAGAACATTTGCAGTCACTCCCCACTGCCTCTCCCTCCAGCCTGTGGCCACCACTATTCTCCATTGTGTCTAGGGAATTGTCTCCCTGGGCGGTTCTTATGGATGGATCATAAAATAAGTGGCTTTCATGTCAGGCATATTTCTTTTTTTGACCAGAACAACTTAGTTTGATAGCTAACAGGCCAAAAGAATAATAGATTCCACAAACTTGTGTGGCCTTGTCTTTTCCCATCCCAACCCTATTTTTTTTTTTTTTTTTTTTTTTTGCGGTACGCGGGCCTCTCACCGTTGTGGCCTCTCCCGTTGCGGAGCACAGGCTCCGGACGTGCAGGCTCCGCGGCATGTTGGATCCTCCCGGACCGGGGCATGAACCCGTGTCCCCTGCATCGGCAGGCAGACTCTCAACCACTGCGCCACCAGGGAAGCCCCCAACCCTATTTTTTATATATAGGGTGATGTCTCCCATTTCCTTCTTGAGGGGCCTCTATTCTTCCCAAAGTCAGAATTATGCTTTTCAAACATATACCCCCCTTTTTATTTCACACAGATGATGATATGCTGCACATACTTCTTTGCTGTTTTTTTTTTTTTTTCAAAGCGTGTGTTCTGCCTTAGCAGCAGTTCCCCAGCTGTGCAGTAGGTCTGCTTTCTTGGTTTTCGCAGCTGGGTGATAGGCTCTTGGGTGCGGATGTAGTGACTCCTTTAACCAGTCTCACGTTCCTCTTTAGTAGGTGCTGTTGTTTATGTTCTTACACACATTCCTGCAGCACGACACTCACTTTCACATTTCATATACTTGTACAAGTAGGATGCATTCTTAGAACTGCTGTTGCCAAGTCCAGGGGTATGAGCTATTTAGGTTTTGATGGACAGGGTCAAATTTTGGTCTTTGAAAGAAGATAGGATTCCCTGGTGGCGCAGTGGTTGGGAGTCCGCCTGCCAATGCAGGGGACATGGGTTCGAGCACTGGTCCGGGAGGATCCCACATGCTGTGGAGCGACTGGGCCCGTGCGCCACAACTGCTGAAGCCCGCACGCCTGGAGCCTGTGCTCTGCAGCAGGAGAGGCCACTGCAATGAGAAGCCTGCGCACCGCGGCGGGGAGTGGCCGCCACTTGCTGCAGCTAGAGAAAGCCCGCGTGCAGCAGCGAAGACGCAATGCAGCCAAAAATTAAATAAATGAATAAATTAATTAATTTTAAAAATATATGATCTCAAAATTCAAGTATAAAAAAAAAGAAAGAAGATAGACCATTGGGATTAGCAGATAAAACTACTATATATAAAATAGATAGGGGCTTCCCTGGTGGCGCAGCAGTTGTGAGTCCGCCTGCTGATGCAGGGGACATGGGTTCGTGCCCCAGTCCCGGAAGATCCCACATGCCGCGGAGCGGCTGGGCCCGTGAACCATGGCTGCTAAGCCTGTGCGTCTGGAGCCTGTTCTCCACAAAGGGAGAGGCTACAACAGGGAGAGGCCCGTGTACCACAAAAAAAAAAAAAAAA